AGCCTTGATCAGTAAGTCGTGTCTGTCTGCTGAAAGTATGATGCTCCGTGTGCTCTCTATTTGTTGACAGCCCTGTCCTAAAAAAATAACAGGTTTAAATTAAGTCAACGCTGGTCATTATGGTGGCTGTGGAGGCATGGATGTGAGGGGACAAATCAGGAGGCAGGCACAGCAGGATGTCCCAGGAGTCCTGTTCGGAGAGGTGGAAGGTCTGGAGCAGCAGAGGTGGCTGAACAGAGAGGATGGGTTCCAGAAGGAGAAGGTGGCTCTGCCGGAAGGGTTGTTGAGGGTGGCATGGGGGTGTGAGAACTGAAAGTCAGGACAGTCCCAAATTCTAGTGCCAGAGCCTGGCCGGCTGATGGTGCCAGCCACTGCCGAGCTGGGGAATTTGGGGAGGAGGAGAGTCAGGAGAGAAGAGCAGGGGTTCTGTTGCGACCAGGGGCCATCTGCCGATGCCCATGTATTAGTGCTTGGGTGGTGAGTCACTGAGCGGTTCCCTGTTGAGGCCTGACCTCCTTGGCCACTGGGGATGGGCCAACAGCAGGCAGTGGAGGGAGGGGAGACGCCGTCCTTAAATGAGCTGTTGAGTCATTTGTTTGGTGCCTTTGGCTAATGAGACCAGGCCAGGGCAGGAAGGGTGTGGCGTGGTGGTCCTGGGCCAGCAGAGGGAAGGGAGGAGGGAGAAGTGAGGTGGCCTTTCAGGAACTGGAGTGGGTTTAAGGACAGCTGGGATCACCAAGCCACAGAGCTGAGGTCGAGCTGGTGGGTGAGCCTTAATTGTGTCGCCCAGCACCTTTGCAGGGTGGGGCAGCAAATGGGTTTGTAGCCTTGGGACCATCCTCATCAGATCTCAGGGGCTGTCTTTGTCCCCGTGCCTCACCCCCTGGAGTCTGCATTGTTCTGATTAGCTTGGGGCCACAGATCTATGGCAGCGGCTCCCCTCGGCCAGTGTTTTTAGATGAAAACCTGTCCTTGCAGTTTTGATAAAGAGTACCTTTAAAGTAACAGAACCACAAACAATATCACCTTTCCTCAACTTACATGAAATTAAATAAAATTTTAGTGGGTTGTGTGTGAGTGGAGGAAAGGGCTCTGCCAGTGTAATTTCTTGAGTAAGCTAAATGTTAGACCAGTAGTTTGCATTTGTAATAAATTAAATAAAATTTTAGTGGGTTGTGTGTGAGTGGAGGAAGGGGCTCTGCCAGTGTAATTTCTTGAGTAAGCTAAATGTTAGACCAGTAGTTTGCATTTGTAAGTGCTCTGTTTGCTGATTATGCATAAGTGTAGGCTTCCAAAGTGCAAAAATGGCTCTTTTAAGGAGCTTAAACAGCCCCCCAGTAGTATGCAATATTCAATTTGAGCCACTCTTTTGCAACATAAATCATTTCTGCCACTGTTCAAGCTGTTACAAATCACAGTTTGACAACTAAGCACTTGTGGATTGACCTGTTCTGGGCTTACCANGGGCAGGATGGTGGACGGTGGGATCTGGGGTGCATGGGACAGATGCAGCCCCTGTACTCGGAGAGCTCATGGGGTGGTCTCTCTGGGGATAAGACAGACACATTAGATAAACATCTTAACATCTGATATGTGTCACCGAGGAGGGGCATAGCGGCTTAGAGGTCTGTTAGAAAGTGGACATGCTGGTCATGATGAGGCCAGGCACACAGCCCTGGGCACACCTGAAAGGTGGGGAATTGCTGGCCTGGTGAGGGGAGGGGGCTGCTATTCTGGGGGGAGGCTGGCAAGGAGCAAGGCAGGGGCCAGATCCTGTGGAACCCACTAAGCTGTGACAGCTTGTGGGCAAGACTCGGAGTCCTCTTTCCATCCAGTGTGTGGAGTGGGTGCAGGTAGCAGCTGCCCTCCAGGCCAGGATGCCAGCCTCATAGGCAGGGGTTGAGAAGATGGAAGTGAC